TATATATATATATATATATATATATATTATTTTTTTCTCAAACCAAACTGAACCATATTAGAAAAAAAAACCACACCGCATTTCTAATTTGGTTTGATTTGCGGTTTGGTTCGGTTTTAAACCACATTAGTTTCACCCTTAATCTAAAAACAATGTAATACTAACACTAGGCAGAGAATTCCTCGAGTGCGGTGCAACCTAAAATTAAACAACCCTGCGGCCCTGCCTAAAGGTGGGCACCGTGCCGTGTCGGGCCATTACATGCCGTGCCGTGCCGGGCCGGACCACATTTTGGCACACCCCAGCCCACGGCACGACACGACCCACGTGCTTGGCGTGCCGAGCCGTCCCGAATTAATGTTTTTTTTGTTTATTTTTTTTAATTGATATATTTTGTTTTTGAACAACCTTTTAAAATGAGTATATTTAAATAATTTTATTAATTGATGAATAACTCATTTACGAGTGCGATAACACAATAATTTAAAACTTTACTAGTGCGATAACACAAAATTTGATGAATAACTTATTTAATTTTATTATACGCCGGTACGATAAATCGATAGTACAATAATTTATAATGATAAAACTCGTACAATAATTGATGAATAACTTAACTTTATAGCTTATTTTATTATACGGGGTTCAATAATACAAAAATTAGCTATAATTAATGGTATTTAATAATCTAATTATTGTTATTGTTCTTCTTCGTCTTCGTCTTCTTCTTCTTGTTGTTCAACTTTATCGACCAATTGAATTTATTGAGAACTAGTAGAACCCGACGTTCCTTCATCGTCGTCGTTTTGTGCATAAGTACGATCTTGGCAGCGAGTTTCGGCATCCAACCAATCCTTAAAACAAACACACACTTCAAGTGTTTCGGGTTTTAGTCTTGTTCTTCTGTCGTCTAAAATCCTTCCTGACGCACTAAAAGCTCTTTCGGAGGCAACAAAGGAGACTTGAATTGCAAAAATATTACGAGCCATTGCCGCCGAAATTGGATGTTTCGTGCTTTGTGCTTTCCACCAATTAAGGATGTCGAGGCCGTACTTCTCTTCGTCATCCATGCCTTTCATGAAGTCGTAATTTAAGTACATTTGCAACTCCGAAACATTGCTTTGTGTTCTCCTAGATGATGATTCAGTACCTGAAAACTTAAACATCATGTTAGCTGCTTGTGCAAATAATCCTTTGGCCCTTTTACTTACATTTTTGGATGTATGAGAAGGAGCAAATCGAGTCACTGTTCCATATTTAGATTCATAAACTCTATATAAGGAAAAAAAATTGATTGGTCACATTAGTTTTATAAGATTCAACATCATCTTCAAAATTCATGCATTGAAAATAAATATCAATTAATAAAAATGTGCCATCATACTTTTGCCTTGGATCTAATATAGAAGCAAAAATATAAATCATAGGAATAGTAGTGTAATATTTACGCCATTTTTCCACCATTGATGGAAGATATCCATCATAATCGTGTTGTAATCGGTGTTCATCGAAAAGTTGTGCAAGTAAACATGCATTGCTAAGAAAAGAATGAGCACAAGGATTATAAACAGAAGAAAAACAATGTGTCATACTATATAATAATTGAAAAACTGCATATATTTTTCACAATTAGATCAATCATCATCTAGTAAAGCAAATTGTGGAAACTTTTTATTATAAAAAATTGTTAATGGACCCTTGTACTCGACTTCCCTACTCAACATTTCATAGGTGGAGTTCCACCTAGTTGCACAATCCGTTGGTATTTTAATAACATTTATCCTTTGTTGCCTTCAAAAAGCTTTCCATTCTTGAAATCTCATGTTAGAGCTGTTGATAAACATAATAGCAGTCCTAATTTTGTGATAAAATGGACCAATTGCTTGTGTTCCATCCTTCGCACACAAGTTAAGAACATGACAAATGCATCTAATATGAAGTGTATCTCCATCTAATATTACATCGGTCAATTGTGGTTTAACTAAATTTGCACAAAATGTCATAGAAGTTGCATTATCAAAAGTCATAGACATGATTTTGGGCCTAAGATTATATGCATCAATAGCTTGCATTAAATGATGAGCAATATAAAGACTGGTGTGGGGGTATTCAAGCATTTTAAAATGGATAATGCGTTTTTGTAATAACCAATCAGTATCCAACCAATGACAAGTCACACACAAATAGTGATATCCGTAACCACTATCCCATACATCAGCAATCAAAGAAACTCTACAAGTAAGATTACTTAATTCATCATATAACTTCAATTTGTACTCTAGAAAAGATTTCATGGCAGTCGAAAGGACAATTTTTCTAGAGATTTTTTTGTGTTTGGGTTGTAGTGCTCGGTTAATGTAATTAATAAAGGGATCATTTTCAGCAAAAAGAAAAGGTTGTTCGGCATGTACTAACATTCTCCCAAGTTCATCTCTATCTCTCTCATAATTGTAAGTGAAGTCATGTGGATGGAATTGAGAATTTTTGGGTTGAGTTGGATCACTAGATGGACCACCACATTTTTTTATATGTCCACTAAGGTGCCCGTCCCTCCCTTGGTTTTGGCCAAGTAAATTTTGTTACATGTCTTACACTTGGCTTTGGTTCCATCTCTACTTAATTGAAAATATCCCCAAACCTTACTCTTTCGATTGGTATTGACAAGTTCCTCTTCGGTACACCATTCTAATGTGTTTTGGAATTTGGGTGGATTGTTCACTTGACCCGGTGGCATTTGTTTGGCTACATTGGGTACTTTGATAAGAAGGTTCATGTTGTGAACTTATAAATGAGGTGAGAATTGGTTTTGTTGAAATCCCGAACTAGACATAGTCCAAGGAGACATATTGTCAAATTGTTCGAATCCTCCTATGGTTTGGGGATGGAAGAAGGGGGTGGAAGTATTCGGATTGGGCATGCTAGGGGGGGGGATTGAAGTATTTGGATTTGGTGATTCCCTACTAGTACTAGTACGTTTTGACTTGTCTTTCCTAGAGGAGGAAGAAGGTTTCGGGTTTGATGCCATGATTAACAATAATAATAACAATAATAATGTCAACAATAATAATAATACAAATAATAATAACAATAATAAATAATAATAATACAAATAATAATAACAATAACAATAATAATAACAATAACAATAATAATAGTGACAAGAATAATAATAATTATAACAGTAATAAAAAATTAATATATAACAATAACAACAACAACAACAACAACAACAACAATAATAATAATACAGAGTCAAATTGAACAATTAGAACTTGACGGGAAGGTCATGGAGTTGATTTTGGTGGAGGGAGCTAGTCTTGGCCTCCATGTTAACGTTGAGAAAACGGAAGTTTTCTGGCCCACGGAGGACCCACGTAGCCGTTTGGCCGGTGTCTTTCCTCCAGACATTGCTCGTCCTATTCATGGTGTTAAGTTTCTTGGTGGTCTTGTCAGTGCGGATGCCTCTTTCTGTGGTAAGCTTGTTTCGCAGAGAGTTTCGAAGACCATTGAGCTCATGGATGCTGTTGCTAAGCTTGAGGATCCCCAATGTGAGCTGTTACTACTTCGTGCGTGTACTGGGGTTTCAAAACTCTACTTTTCTATGCGTACGTGTCCTCCTCGTCTTTTTGAAGCGGCCCAGGTTTCTTTTGATGTGGCCCTTCGAGGTTCTTTGGAGCGCATTGTAACTGCTTCGGGGCCAGGTTTTGGTGATTGGCAATGGCGACTTGCTACCTTACCTTTTTCTTATGGTGGATTGGGTGTTTATTCAGTGGGTGATGTTCGTCACTATGTGCTTTCCTTGCGTCGCGTTTGCAGTCGTCTGGTCTTCAGACTTCGCTTCTTCGCAATTCTGGTATTGATGGTCTAGGTCCGGCCTTCGATGGCGCTCTTAGTCTTTTTAATACGACTGTGGATACTGACCTTTTGCGTAACCCTAGTGAGATCGCTGCCCCTAACCTCATGAAGAAATTGGCAGATATATATTTCGCGAAGGTCACTGCTTCTGTAGAATCCACTTTCTCCTCGTCTCCGCGTCAGATCGCCTTATGGAAGTCCCAGCAGGGGGATCACACATCTGTATGGTTGCGAGCGGTCCCGATATCAGGTTTGGGTCAGACTATGAATGGTAAGACTTACCGTTGTGTTCTTTGCTACCGGTTGGGTGTTCCCTTGTTCTCCGTTTCGACTCTGTGTTCTGCTTGCTCTAGGGTTTTTGATGGGGATATTTATGGGGATCATGCAGTGTCTTGTGCTGGGATGGTTGGTATTAAACATCGGCACAACGTTGTCCGTGATACCCTTGTTGATATTTGTTTCCGCTCTGGGATTTCTGCAAGGAAGGAGGTTAACGTTGGGTTGACTGGAGGGAATGCCGGGGCCCTTCGACCGGCAGATGTGTTGCTTTATTCCTTGGAAAGAGGTCTTGATGTATGTGTTGACTTGACGGGGTCTTCTCCTTTGACTCAATCTGGGTTGTCTGACTTTGTTCCTGGTCGTGTTGTGTCGGCTGCGGCTCAGCGGAAGCAGGACAAGTATGGGGCGTGTTGCAGGACAATTGACTATGGTTTTCTTCCTTTCTCCTTTTCTTCATTGGGGGAATTAGAGAAGGATGTTGTTGCGTTGCTGAAGCGGATTCAGGCGTTTGCTAGGACTCAGGATATTGGTGCTCGTGCAGCTGCTCATATCTTCAACAGGATCGGGTTCGCTATAGCTAGAGGGGTGAGGGCCTATCTCGGCTTCCCACTAATTTCTTGTAAATCAATTGACTTTGTAGGTTTTTGTTATAATAATAATAATAATAATAATAATAATAATAATAATAATAATAATAATAATAATAAAAACAACAACAAAATAAAATAGCGTTGAGTTAGATCTCACAACGACGCTTCAATTGCTTTCCGCTAATTAATTTCCCAAACTTATATATACATATATATATTTTTAAATTTTTATAATTGAGAGAATTAGAGAATTAAAGATTATATGATTTTTGTTTTTTTTTTTTTTTGAGAAGTAAAGATTATAAGAGAGTAGGAATTAAAGAATAAGATATTTGAGAATAGATGAGTTGATGGATTGTGGAAAAAAATGGAGGAAGAAGTAAAGTATTTATAGGAATTAGGAAGCTGAAAGTAGCCGTTGGAAGAAAGTAGCCGTTTATGGCCGTTATGCACGAGCCGGGCCGTGCCTGGCGGGCCGCGTGCCGTGTTGGGGCCGTGCCTGACGGGCCGCATGCCGTGCTCGCGGGCCAAATGACCTTATCTGCACCGTGCCGTGCCGTGTGTCGATTTTTGAAAATTTTGTTCACGGCGCGGCCCACGGCCCACTGTTGGGCCACCGTGCCGTGCCTATAGCGGGCTCGTACCGGGCCGTGCCACCACCATGCTGTGCCCATGGGCCGGCACAGCCCATGCCCACCTCTAACCCTGCCACCCTAGTACTCGTACTCTGTATAACAAAGACAGCAGCAACCTTTTTCAAATTTCAAACACCAGTCAAAATCGCAGATCATCCCAAAAGTTAAAGAAAGCAGTGGTATAGAAAACAGAAAGAGAAGCTTCTTATTCCTTCAAAATTCAAAAAAAAAAAAAGAAAAAAAAAAAATGAGCACAGCAAATAATAATCTACAACTCCTCCATCTTCGCCACCTTCAAATTCAATGCCATCGTTGCTCATCCTTTTCTTTCTCATGCCCTCGTTCATCCTCTCAATCTTCCTATTCTCTTTCTCTCTTCCCTTCTAAATGCAGTATTTCTCTTTCAGGTCAAACCCCATTAATTTTTCGACTTTGAATTTTATATTTTCAACAAAAAAAAGTGTAATCATGTAGTTTGTATTGATATTGATTTTGTAGGTTCAAATTCTCTTACCCTAATCCCCAAGATTATGATATGTAATTGCATTCTCTCTCTTACTTATACTTGTAATTTCATTTTGAAAATTTTGAATTATAATGTAATAATTAATTGGGTTTTTTTGGGCAGGTGGGAGTTCTTGTAACGTGGTGGTTAAATGTGTACCAAAAGATTTTGAATCAGAATTCAATGTTGTTCCTGAGGTTTGTGTTTTCTTTTTGATTATTTTAATTATAATCGTTTGCTCAATTAATTAGTTTATTAATCATTAGTTGAATTTTTAAGATTGTGTGGAATTTTTGTTAAGTTTGTTGATTGTGTGGAATTTTTGTTAAGTTTATTGTTTTGATTGTGTGGAATTATTATTTTCCACACAATTAATCCCAATATTATTATATAATTTGTATGGATATATAATAATATTGGGATTAATTGTGTGGAAAATAATAATTTTTATGGATATATAATAATATTGGGATTAATTGTAGAAGGAATAATGTTATCTAGATTTATGTTGCTTCTGACTTTGGTTGTGTAATGTACACATATTGCATATCCTTTGGTTTCTGGGTTGTGAACGAATGCGCTGTTGGCGTGAGCTTTGGTTTTCTTATAGAATTTTAAATTACAGTATAAATTTTTCAAAGAAAAGGGTGCTTTTTAAAATTTATTCAACAGTGTTTCAAAGATTTTTTTTTTTTTTGAAAAATTGGCCGCAACAATATCAACTATGATAAAGGTGCGTGTAGCATCACAACCTTCTAAGGGCGCGGTCGACAGCAAAAACTATGTAATTGGGTGTATATATTAGCATAAATGACACTAATGAACTAAGGTTCCATGGAAAAAAGTGGAATCTTCGTTATTTTATAATTGTTTAAACATTTTTTAAACTTACATGATTTTCCATCATGCGTGACTAAATTAGCCTTCCCTTCTATTTTTTTTCATTTAAGCATTTCTTAGCCTTCACCATTTAAGCGGATTCCTTCAAAAGAAATTGTGCTATTATTTTCCTTCGTTCGCTTCTTCAATTACTTTTTTCTAATATCGATCTCACATAATTGACTTAGTTTCCTTTCTCTCTCCACTTAGTCAAATACTAAATTGATAAATAAATTAAAATCATTCGAAAACCTTTATTATACCAGATTTCAGGATACATAAGTAACTTTTGAACACTAAGCCCCACAAAATGATTCAAAATACTTAATTCAAACAACAATTTTAGAATTGGATTTTAGGATATGCCAAATTGATTTTCTGGTTTTTTAATGTACAACACTTTAATTGTGGAGGTTGAGAGAGAATAATTTAAAGGGAAAAAAAATTAATTATAATGGAAGAGGAAACTAAGTCATCAATCACATGAGATGTAAAAAAAAGTAATTGAAGAACCAAACGTTAGAAAATAATGGCGAAAACTTTTTGAAATAATTCATTTTAATGATGGAAATTGAACAATGTTTAAAGTAAAACAATAAATGGAAGAGAAGACTACTTAGTTACGTGAGATGGAGAATGGAATTAAACAAAAATATACTTCCTCCGTTTTTTTTAGTTGATACGTTTTGACTTTAGCACTATTCACACACTCCCCTTTGACCGTGTTTTGTGGTTTATGCATAATGAAAAATATAGTTATGTGGGATCTTGTTAGATTCCTCAAGATATATATTTTCAAAATATCAAATTTTCATAAATTTTTATTATCGATAATAAGAGATATAAATGGTTGAAGTTATTCATTGGCAAACGTGACTAAAGAAACGTGTCAACTAAAAAGAAACGGAGGAAGTATATGAATAAAAAAGCATTAAAAATATTTAAGATTCCACTTTTTGAAGAAATCTAAGTTTTGCCAATGTCACCCAAGTGCATTGTTTGTGATGTTGAGTGCACCCTCGAAAGGTTGTGCTGCTACGCGCACCTTCGTCATAGTTGGTGTTGTTGCGGCCAATTTTTCCTTTTTTTTTTGACATCGGTCATCCAATTTGATATGGCTTGAGCCTTTTAGTTTCTTGTTTCATACTTATAATTCTAGGGGAGTAGTAGTATTATTTGCCAATGTCAATACTATAGAATAGTTTGTTGTGGGGCTATTGGTTAGGGTTAAGGGAAAGAATTGGACTTTTTTGTTAAATGGTTGAAGCAGAAGATAACCGGAAAGAACGTAAACTTTGATTAAGGTATACGCCGTTCAATCTTGGGTTACGTTACTCGTAAGAATTAGGAATCTGTTATGGAGTACAACATTGTAGATAACACTATAAGCGCAGGTTTTTTTTTTAAGGGACCAATTCTGACCTCATACTGCCATTCTGTATATTAATGATTTCGCCTTTCATAGAATTGCCAGATGATCGTATTGATATCCACATAATGAATGACTGAACTAGCATGTGGATATCTTGACCAAATCACACTGCTTCTAGAGATTTGGATTTATCAATGTGAATTCTGATGTGTTTAGAAAGGTGATTAGGTGGCTGATTTGTTGCTATTTCTCTTTTGTTTTAGGAGGTTGAGAAGACAGAAGACATTTCCAATATCTTGAGCAAAGCAAATTCTTTTTTGCCTCATGTTGTGCTTGCAAGTACGCTGCTTGCTCTTGCTTATCCTCCTTCTTTTACTTGGTTTACCAACAGGTGGTTGTTTGTCCTGTTTCAAATTTTTATTTGGAGAAGAAAAGTATGTGCTGTGTTTAATAGCCATGTGTCTAAATTTGTTTGTTTGTCTAATTTTGTATCTTTATCTGTTTCTGTTACCTTTTGAATGCAAGATTCTACTACATATTAGATAACTCCTGTTTTTTGTGAGTCTGATAGACAGCCTTCCCATTTTCTCTCTTGAACACATTCATAGGGATACCACACCCTGTTTTTCTAGTTAAGAGTTTAGACACATATGAAATGAGATATCACTTGTTCTTCATATTCTACCTGTAGTAAAACCAAATTGTTTGCCAGAGTAAATTTTCTTGACAAAAAAAGATGTGCCCATAAAACATGTGAATTCATGATTTGACATTATACAATTCAAATAAAATGCAAAATATGTAAGTTTTGGGACTTTTCAACCTGTTTATTTAATTGGATCACATACCTAATTGACTCAGGTAGACCAGTTAAGTTATTCTTAAAGTATAAGATGCAAGGTTGACAATTCTGAAGGCTTAAGACTTGAACTACATTCTAGTATAATCCATCCTTTACCCTTGGATCACATTCATCACAATATAGGGTTGGGAACTAGGGATTATTTAAGCCCATACTGAATTCTAGTATAAATCATCCATATTCCATCTTGAAGACTTAGAGTTCTGCTCACTACTTCTTTGTTTCTTTTCTTTAAAGACAAGCTTTTGTCATGATAGGTTAAGTATCCTTCTTAGCACATGTAACACGTGCTATCCTTATTAGTATTATTCACCTTGTAGCCTCTTCTCCTTTTGTGTATCTAGCTTACTTGCTCCAAACTTGACATAAGAAATCAAATAGCTTCAATATTGGCTTCAAATTTACCGTCAAATTGCCCAATGACCACAGGCATAACAGGTCTCCTTAAGTTGCAAATTTATTCACTTGCTAGTTGCTACTGAAACCTTTCAGAGCAAGGCATCTTGAACCAAACGGTTTGTTGATTCATAATCCTTGACACTATATAGGTTAGTCAATCGACCATTATTTAACCATGTTTTATATTCTCAACACTTATCCATCTTTTCAGTTTCTAATTCTGCTGTGCCAATCTATTTGGTCAAGTCTTCTAAACCCTTGGCAGTTAAAGTCCTCAAAATTTTTTATGGTTTTCTGTGATTCACCTTTCAATAAATATTCCTCTTCCCAAGTGTAGAAGTCCTCTGCTGCTGATATAATTGAGATAATAAACCCTAAATTATCTAATATTTGAATATTATTGGTTGCAATAGGGTAACCTTCCTTCCACTGTTTTCTACTTGGTGCTTTACAAGAAAATCTTTGCTTCTGATATTGATATGTGATCTTATGTTGCTGAAGTTAGTTTTAGATTTTGTGGTTTATTTGTTGGGTGCTCCCATAAATGTGCTAGAATGAAATCCTCTTTTTTTTTCCTCCTTAAAATAACAATAACCAACAAGTTTATACAATCTCACTGATTTTCAAAATTTTCCATTATATTGGAAATTAAAATGAGAGACTGGGCCCATGTCTCGGTCCAATGATTATATGGAACAGCTTACCGCTATGGAGTATTTGTATAACTTTAGTTTAGCATGCATGGCAATAAAATGCAAGTAATCATTAAGTAGGAAAAGTGTTCCCATAAGGTAGCAGGTTGGGAACATTACATACAGTCCTGGAGTTGTGTAATGAACTAATTTTCTGGCTTATTATTTTCTGATTTAATAATGCAAGTAATAAAGATGAAAGCTTCAAGATTGATTGATAATGGTGGAAGGGTTACAAAGGATAAGTTAATAGCTTAAGGCTATTACTCTAAGAGAGTGAGTTTAGCTCACAACTCTCCAAAATGGCTTTAGGCCATGACTCTCTTAGGTTTCCCTCTACAAGTTTCTGCTTCCCTTCTTCTTTCTACTCTCTCTCTATATATACTAAACACTAAAGCTGACTCTAACCTACTATTACTAGAATACTCATACTACCCCTCCTTAGGTTAGTCTATTACAATTTATTTTCTGATTTAATAATGCAAGTAATAAAGATGAAAGCTTCAAGATTGATTGATAATGGTGGAAGGGTTACAAAGGATAAGTTAATAGCTTAAGGCTATTACTCTAAAAGAGTGAGTTTAGCTCACAACTCCAAAATGGCTTTAGGCCATGACTCTCTAAGGTTTCCCTCAATACAAGTTGTCTTGACTGTGAGCTCAGTAATTCTCAATGGTTAGAACTGAAATTTTTTGCTGTTAATATTCTTTGCCTGAAACTGCTACATATAGTTTAGTCAGATGATGAGCTCACTAGATAAAAAATTTCTCTGCCTGGAACGCTAAATACAGTCTAGTCTGATAATGATTTCACTAGATGCAAATTTCTCTACCTGGAACACTAAACCAATCTAGATAAGTTTCTCTGCTTGGTACACTAAAGAGTAAAGACAATCAGTCAGCTGATTTATTCTGAAAACTCGATGTGCAGAAATTTTAAATTATGATCTCACCCACCTATTGACCTATTTACTGCTTCATGGTGTTTATTACATTATTATAGGTACTATGCACCAGCACTAGGATTTTTGATGTTTGCAGTGGGTCTAAATTCAAGTGAGAAAGATTTCCTTGAAGCATTTAAAAGACCTGCTGCCATTTTTGCTGGCTATATTGGGCAATTTGTTGTCAAGCCTCTGCTTGGATTTATATTTGGCACTATTGCAGTAACAGTTTTTGGTCTACCAACTCCTGTTGGTAATAGTCTTCCAGCTTGTTTCTCAATGTATACTATCATACTTTGTATCATGTTATAGTAACTAATGTTTCAACTGGTACCTACAGGTGCTGGGATCATGTTGACATCTTGTGTCAGCGGGGCCCAACTCTCAAATTATGCAACTTTCTTAACTGACCCTCAAATGGCCCCTTTAAGCATTGTTATGACATCATTGTCTACAGCCTCTGCAACATTTGTGACACCCCTTCTATCACTGCTTCTCATTGGAAAGAGATTACCTGTCGACGTTAAAGGAATGATGACTAGTATTATGCAGATTGTAGTAGCACCTATTGCAACTGGCTTGCTTCTGAATAGGTGAAACCTGACTTCTTTCTTTGTTATTCTTCCATCCGTCTTCCACACCCTTTGTAATGCTATTGTTGGTGATTAGTTCTTTTACATTAGTACAGGTTGTTTCCTAAGGTCTGCAAGGCAATACGGCCCTTTCTGCCTCCGCTATCAGTTTTTGTAACATCTCTTTGTGTTGGTGCACCCCTCGCTATCAATATAAATGCTGTTATGTCCCCTTTTGGATTGACCATCCTTCTACTAGTAACTATGTTTCACCTGTCTGCATTTGTTGCTGGTTATGTGATGTCTGGTTTGGTATTTCATAACGCACCTGATGCGAAAGCTCTCCAAAGAACACTTTCCTATGAGACAGGTATTGTACTTTCTTCCACTGCTGATTTCTTCTTTATCTTTTCTTTTTATATGTAATACATATTGACCTTGTTTGGCAAATGGCTGTTGGTTGTGGTTCAATTGGCTTGTTTGACCAGCTGGAATGTTTGGCTATTTATAATGGCTTTCGAAATTGTTGTTTAAGCTGGCTGTTTATAAAAGCGTTTGGTAAATTTAGTTGGTGGATGTTGGCTGTTTAGTAGATAATTTGTGGGCCAACAGGCCAAAAGCCAACAAAAAAGCTACTCATAGCAGCTTTTTCATTTTGGCTTAAAAGCCAGCTTTTTTGCTGAATGAAAAGCCAATTACCAAACACTTTTTTTTGGCTGTTTGACCACATAAAAAAGCCAAAAGCTAAAATCTAACCAAAAAGCCATTTACCAAACATGGCCATTATATGTGTTTAAACTTTTAATCAAGCTAACTTAATTTTACCATATAGGCATGCAAAGCAGTCTTCTTGGTCTGGCACTTGCTAATCGGTTTTTTGAGGATCCTGTTGTGGGAGTTCCTCCTGCTATATCTGTAAGTCCCAAGTTTTTGCTCTAGCAATGAAAATGGGATTTTATATTTTGGTGGATTTCTCAATTGTTTAAATAAAAAAATAGTGATTCAGCTATTATATCCTCCTATATTATGTGTGAAAGAGAAACTTTTATTAAGGTTTCTGTATAACCTTCGATAGCATATTAACAGAGCCAACACAACTGTCTGAATATGAAGCTTAGTTGTACAACAAAGCTGGCATGAAAGGACTCCGTAGAGCAGCTTATTTCCATAGATTTAGTCTAAAAACTTACGATCCATTCTGAAATATAGTTTGCGTCATTGTTCTGTTCACCTGACATACAAGGCTCTTAACGAGAAATGCCTCGTTGAGCCTCCAATTGTCCACTGAATGCTCCCCAAGATCACAATGAGGAGTAAATTATATGGATAATATCATTATAAGCAGATATAGTCATGATTACTTATCTATGCTAGAGCTGCAAAAGAAAGCTATTTTAATGGAAAGTCTCCAGCTCAATTCTGCCAGACGTTGTGTATTATGTTTTCATTACTTACCAGTAGTACCAAGTGGCATCTGTAAAGATTTCTTCCCATATGGGCCTGGCCTGATTAAATATGGTGTAGCGGGATTCTAGTGGACTCTAGATTCTACATGGTTTATCTTAACAGAATTCTGGAAAAAGTTTACTAGGATGCAACTATAACTTTAACAATCAGAATAGAAGAGCAAGAGACAAAAATTGTCTTAGAAACAAGGTGTCCTTTAGAGTAAAGGCTACTATGTTTAGATTGCAGTGCTAGATGTAGGAAGGCATCCAGCTCTTTTGTGCATAGTATTTCATTTCTCAAGTTCTATAGTTGATTAAAAAAGCAAATAATTGCTCATATACTATTATAATGCTTGAGATGCATAAACTTCGATATATTCATAAGCATCAATTGATTTAGTCTCACACATGCTCACAGTCCTTTTGTTTTGCAGACTGTTATGATGTCTTTGATGGGGTTCTCTCTTGTTATGTTGTGGGCTAAGAAAAAGAAATGATAGTTTCAAGAACAAGTGCGATCACAAGTTATTAAAGAACTGGTGTGTTTGTATCAACATCTGGAATAAGTATACAAGTTTTATGATGTAGACGAAGCCCATGCTGGACCTATGAGTTCAGGGAGAGCCGGTGTAGCAGTGCTTCTGTAGTTTTGTATCTAACATTAGGCATTAGTAACCATGGTATGATGATCGGATTGTGGTCGCTAAAGTAGGTTTAAATAGCAAAATGTCTGAAATGTTGGTGTTACTGTTTATACACCTGATAGTGTGTAGGTTTAGGCAATGGCCTAGCAGCCAGAATGGTAAGAAGATTGGTATATAAATGTCTGAAATGTCTGAAAGTTTGTACAAATGTTTCTTGTCTGTCCTTGGGATTGGTAGTGCAGTCGATTTAGACAAGTTTCTGACACAGATATTGAAGTTTCTGACAAGTTTCTGTCTGCTGTAGTTTAATAAGAGAACAGAACTGCTTCGCTAATCATTTTCAGATGAACAAAATAATGTAACAGTGAAAGGAAGTTAGAGGGTGCATCATTTCAACAGCGACAATAAATTATGGTTTTGAAATTTAACCGATCTTATCACCATCAACTGTGATTCTGTGAACTAGAAATGGTTTAACAGCAAAGGTAACATCTTGTGGAAAGAAGCTAAACGAGAAAAACCTCCTGGCGAGGCGGCGAGTAAATAATCCGTAGCTTCGTTTCCGATTTGAACAATTTAGCCCACCTTTGTGATCTGAACATCCTTTCTCAGCTCCATGTGGACTGCCATTACAATTGCCTAGTTTCCTGCTTCTGTCAATCCAAAGCATTCATTTGTTCTTTATCAGCTACGGAGTAGAAGTTAAGGTAGGGCTAGGAGTCCTTTTCTGTGACCAACTGCCCAGTTCTTTTGAGATCTTTATCCCTTGGCAGAAGAAAAGGTGGAAGAAATCGAGGCAAAGAAAAACCCACCACTACACATAGCAATGCGAATGTTGCAACCAGCCAAGCTTTATGGGGGATGCCCAACATCAGCTCATCACAAACTGTCATAGTTAGGAGACAGGATGAGTAATGGGTGCAAGTTCATGTATCGGGCACATATAAAGCAGGAATAAGTGAAGAACTAAGAACAGGAATTGTTTGATAAGGATGAAAATAGAAGACAGGTAGCACAAGAAACATGTTCAATGCAAAGCATAAGAGCAATAAGTGTCAGTTCATTGTTTCACAGTAACTGAAGCATCAAGTCAATCATTAATAAGGTGAACAATCTCTTATCATTAATAAAGTGAACAAAATAGCTCATTCCAATTGGCATGAATACATAATAGCTGCTTATAAATGGATGTACATAAGCTCTAAGCATCCTAAACAAATATCTAAGCATGATTCAGTACATGACAATGAACTATTCTTTCCGAATCAAAGACAAGAAAGCAGCATACCTATATTGAACAAGATGTTCTCCCTTTCCTGAACACCAGGTATTGCTACAAATCCCTCAGGCTCCACAGTTATCAGAACATACAATCCGCCCTGTCCATAACCCACAATCAAAAATAGTAAACCATGAGATGACCATCGATAAACAATGAACGTACTCAAACCTGACGATTGATCTCATCAAGGTCCTCCGCCTTGAAAATCAGTTTTTCAGTGTTGAGCAATTTCCTTAGCCTGTTCATTCCAACATCAGAAACACCTCTCTTCAACTGTAATGAAAATATAGCCGGTGTCTGTAACACAAACAACGCCCATCAATAAACTCATAATCAACGATATCCCACGGTTAATTACACAAGTTCAAATCATGTTATAAATTACATACAGTAGCTGGATATGAGATCTTCACTTCATACCAAGTATCAGGTTTTAACCCTTGAAGCAAATAATAGCGCGATCCCATCTGAAATGGTAAACTTTCCTTAAACAACTCCTTCCCAACAGTCAACTCCTTTTGATCAACTCTGTGTCATAACATTGTTTTATATCTCAGACATCAAATTCACCCAAAAGTATAAACTAAAAAAAAAAAACATAATCAGAATCATATCAAAATTAGCTTGCACTAAAATTACAATGGATAGTCCAGAAATACACCATTACACTATTCTAGGGTGAAAATTATTGACTTTAAAAAAAAACCCAAATTGAAACAAGTTATGGGGTAACTATCCTTGATTAATGATAGAAGCTTCTCAATAGGCAACAATGCATGAAATTAAACAAGATTACAAATTTAATGTTTTGGGCGAATAATTTACAGTATGTATTCATTCTAGCAACAGTAGATTAAGATAAATTTACAAGCGGATGAATGATTGAATTTGGAGAAAATGAATCAATGTATTTGAAAAAAGAATTAACAATAATTAGGATTAGAAGGAAAAGTAATAATGCTATTACTAAATACAATTTAAAATCATTTGAATGTAGCAAGATGGAATTTTTATAGTTGGAAACTAAAAAACGATGAAAATTGAATTACAGAAAGAAGACTGACCCGTTTCCATAGGTGAAAGTTGAGGAAAAGAAGAGAAAGATACCAAGAATGTTGAGAATCGACATCAATTTAACCTGTGTTTCTTCCTCAAATGCTCTTAGAAGAGTCAATTGCGGTTTTTGGTAGAAGGAAATTTAGGAGTAGAGTATAACAAGGAATAGTAGAGTATAATGGATTTTTGATTTCTTGTTTTTAGTGTTTAAAGAAAAAGAAAAAAAAAAAGAAAATTTTGACTTTTATACTTCAAAAATGGAACTCGTTGACTTTTGATATCCTTTTAAAATTTTATTTACTTTCATAACCATCAAATTTTAAAATTATAGGTTTTGGTACCTCCGTCCAACTTCTGGTAACTTTTCCATTAGTGGGGCCCTTAGCAACGGCTAGTTTGTTACTTCCCTCCTTTTAAATAACGCCTTTTTTCGATTGTCCACAATCTGATTTTGCGAAAAATCTTGAGATTAATTGATTAAAATTGTTCAAAGGCATTCTTTAAAATTTAGTGTTCTAATTTATTGTTAAATTGCGAAGGGATTTGGAAGAGGTTGGTAGCAATTGCGAAGTAGGTTATAGGCGAAAAAAGGTTGGTTTTTTAATTTTAATTTTCCATTTAATTGTGTTAATTAATGATGAATTGAGTGAAATCTATGTCTGATTGTGGTTCATAGGTTGTTGATTAGTGATTCAACTACCAATTGAGGCTGTAATTGAATGATTTTGTTGTAATTTAGGGAACAAAAAAAATTAGGGTTTTTCAGCTGATTGAATTTAGGGAATTATTGTTGGAGGTTTGTTTACTGAAATTGAGGTTGTATGTTAGTAATTTAACTAAAATTGGGCTTGTTTGTTGTATGTTTGTTGGAATTCTTTTGTAGAATGGCTGAGAATATGGCGGTTTTGAGATTTAAGTACTTGAGTTTAGTTGTTGACATTGAAGTAGACTTAGGAAATCACAATTTGATGGATATTGCAATAGAGTTTGAAGATCGACTTCGTGAAATGGATGATCCAGTAGAAGGATCAGTAGACATCTTGTACCCCACATTTTAGCATGTTTATAAAAGGAAATATTGGACATTAGAAGATGATGGTGACTTGCTCAAAATGTTTAGGAGGTTTCCTAATAATGACATTTATACCATCTTGGTTGGCACCACTGACGATCCTGGTCTTGAATGATTTAGTCTTGGAGTATAGGATGAAACAAAATGGGACATGGCCATCACCTGGTTATCCTCATTATGGAGCTCAACCACCAGTTTGACAAGGTGTGTTTGACTTTGATGTGTATAATAGGTGTTTCATTGTAAGTGATGAGTTTTAATGACACTTGTTTTGATATTTGCAGGATTAAAAATGTCTTGGAATACCTCATCTCCCTAAAACCAGAAGAAATGTAACTGTGGATTGTCACTTGCAAGGTTGACATCTTAGACTAGGGACAATCCAGGGCGCAAGTTTAGGGCATGCAAATTCTAGGATCCAAACACCGAGATAAGGGGCTGCAAATGTTTGGAATGGGTAGATTCAGATGATGGCACTGACTGGCAAAGGGATGTGATAAACCAATTGTTGCTTGACAAGAAATTAATGAAAGCTGAGCTGAACTCTTTGCAAAGGGAGGTGGATGATCTGGTTGGCCAAAGGAGGTGTTTGGTTAATGAAATTGACACATTGAAGACCAAATGCAAGGCTCTTAGTGGTGACAGGAAAAAGATGAGTAGCAGCAATAGGGTTTACTTGGTTGTATTAGTTGCAATTAGTTTAGTCATTATGGTTTTAGGATTAAGTGTAATTATGAAACTGGTTTAGGGGAGTTTAGGAGAAGCAAGGACATTATGTTTGAAAATGTAATTTTTACTTTTAAGGTTTAGTTGGATTGAACTTTATTTGCAAATTACTAGTTATGTATGAATGCGTAACACTTATGTTTAAGAAATTAAATTTGGCAGCACTTTGAATTGGCTACTAAATTAACATGCCATTACAACTTAAAATTTATATGTACAAGAGATAGTTAACAACCTTTAATGAGTATGTGTTTATGTGTACTCATTAAAGGGTAATGTTTAAATAACAAAAAGTAAGTGCACAATTTGTTCAAAACATGTCAATAACAAGTACTTGATGACATGTAAACTAGCAAAAGGAGCAGACTCTAACAAGCTTCTGCTTTGACACTATTTTTTGTTCTTGGACTTGCTTGCTGATGGCTTGGGTCCTCTTGGATTCATAGCTGTAGTAGTGGTTGATGCCTGGCTGCAAAGGTTTGCTTCTGTTGCTGCCGACTTTCTTGATTTAGTAGTGGCTCCCTGTGATGTTGATGTTGCTGCAGATGGTCCTGGTCCTGCTACTGAAGTTGCTGCTGCTACTGCCTTCTGTTTAGCTGCCTCTTCTTGAGGGAATTTTTTGTTGGCAATGTTGTTAGGACTTGCTCCTACTATAGTCTATGTAAAGCACAAAACACAAGTGTTCGATACACAATCACAGGTTATACAAATCAGTAATTAGACATACATAAGCAACTGAAAGCTAACCTTACTCAGAGCTCTCTCTGCCTTTTTCCTCCTTTAATTTGTTCCACCACCCATGGTGTGTTCAAAACTGGCTTGCCTTTTGTTTTGGGTTGGGAAGAAGGTTCTGCTACTTGAACATCTTCATTGGTACATGTTTTGGCATAATGACCAAATTGAGCACATTTTTTGCATCTTTTTTTTGCCTCCTTTTGCTGTCACTAGATTCTAGTGGTTCTGCTGCACCCTCACCCCTTTCTAACTTCTTCTTTTTGGACTTAGGCCTGCCAGACATAACCCTAACTGGTAGAGGTAGTGGCTCCCTCATCTGCATTATCTTCTCCCAATGCTTAGGACCTAGCATTGGCTGCACAGGAAGTTCATATGCTAACATGTACTTCTCCCTTTTGTAATAATAGTTTACATATTGTTCAGGATCTACTCTCTTGTCAAGAATGCATGCAAACCCATGAACACAAGGAAGCCCTGTTAGCTGCCAATGATAACATGTGCAAGTTATCTGTTGGAGGTCAATTGTCACCTGGTTAGCATTAAGTTGCACCTCATAGGTATCACCCCTTGATACTTGCACTATGCAGTGCCTTGCAACCCTCTCTAGCTTGTCAAACAACTTTGTTACATAAGGTGTAATACCCTGTATTTTTATACATATTTTAATTTAAATAAGTATTTCTTAAAGTATTTAAATAATTCAAAATGAATTATTTATGGTTTTTATTAATTTAAAAAGAATTATTTTAATTAAAAGGTTTATTTTAAATTATTTGATAATCTTGAAAATATTTTTTTATGATTTAAAAATATTGGGGCACATTATTTTATAAAAAGATAATTTTTAAAGTTAATGGTATTTAAGGAAAGTCAAAATATTAGTTTGATTAGGAAAGGGACCATTAAGGGTAGTAAAGGAATTTTAAGTAGGATAGATTTTGAGAGGGGGTATAAATACTCATTGTATGCCTAAGGTGGAGTGCACCCAAAGGTAAACTCTTTCTCTCTTCTTATTTTCTTTTCCCCTTCCCCTTTAATTTATTTTATTTTAATCACCACCCACACACACACCACACACGCCGGCCGGCCACCACACGCCACCACTGGCTGGCGGCAACCACCACAAGCACTCGTTGGAAGCAGCAGCCACCAAGCGGCGACGACAGCTAGCCTAGGTGGTTGTGTGCGCCGGTGGTTTACAAAAAAAAAAACAACTTTCTTTTTGATTTTTAATTTAAATCTACCTTAATCTAATTATTGTTTTTGAGTTTTGTGATGATTTTAGGATGTTTAATAATAAGTATTTGTATATTAATTATCAGATTTGGTTTTGAATTAAAAAGCCCCAAATTGAAAACCCTAGGTTTCTAAATTTATGTATATTGATGGAATTTGATTGTGGGTGATTTAAATTATTGAAAAAGGTGTTTTAAAACATAACTACAACAATTTAAGAAATTTAATTAAGCTGGAATTTTTATATATAAGCTATAATTATGTTTCTTGAAAGGATTTTTAATTACCCATTAATTGGGAATAAAAGTAAGGGTTTAAAATAAAATTTCAGATTATTTTCGAGGGTTTATGAGTGTTTTAAAGAGAGTATATATTGCTGAAAATTTGTGTGGAAGAGGTATTAATACTTCTTTGTAATTGTTGTTTGTAGGAGACTTCCAAGTGATTGATTTTATTTAGAGATCATATTCAAGGTACGTTCGCGTACTTAGTAATTATTTGAATATGTAGAAGCATGCTAGGCTTTGATTAGTTAATTCCAAGTAGTATCGTGATAGGTATTGGTGGAATTTGTTGATTGGATTGATTTGATGATTGATTTGTGAAATATGAATTATTTGAAGTGAATTGTTGATTGGAATTAATTATGTTGGCATGTTGGTTGTGAACCATACTTTTATTATTGGCATGATAGAGGACATTTTCAATTAAACTAAGTGTTTAATTTGGTTTGGAATATTGAAAAGGAATCTTATTATGGTTCATCTAATTTTTATTGATGCTATAAGCATGAGGAAGGAGCTATTTAAGTGTCTATGTACATGAGGATTAAATTATATTTGTGGTGCCTAAGTGCACTTAAGATGTTCTAAACACCGAAGGATAGGATTTGTGGTGCTTTATGCGCTTAAGGTGTTATTTAACACCGAGGTTGTTTAAAAAGGATTCAACATTAAATTTATGTGGTCACTAATTATTCAAGAATTAAATTAGTATGTTTGATTGTTTGAATGAATTATAGTGTTTGATTGTGTTATGGTTTGAGAGTCATCACCGAGTCTAATAATATGTAAATAACGTAAATTGGTATGTTTGATTGTTTGAATGAATTATAGTGTTTGATTGTGTTATGGTTTGAGAGTCATCACCGAGTCTAATAATATGTAAATAACGTAAATTGGTATGATTGTGTTTGATTGTGTTATGCGCTTAAGGTGTTATTTAACACCGAGGTTGTTTAAAAAGGATTCAACATTAAATTTATGTGGTCACTAATTATTCAAGAATTAAATTGGTATGTTTGATTGTTTGAATGAATTATAGTGTTTGATTGTGTTATGGTTTGAGAGTCATCACCGAGTCTAATAATATGTAAATAACGTAAAGTGAAAGAGATTACGCACTAAAACTCTTGGAACGTATATACCTTGAGTATGAACATATGGGGGGAGTTATGCGACTTTATATTTGACCATAACTTCTACCGGAATACAAGACACTGTATTTTCCTTTTTATTATGCGCAGGAATTCCGCCACTTACAAGTGGTTTATTGTATACTGACACGGTTAGCTCCCGTGTTAGTACCCCTTTATTGGGGCAGGTTAGGGGAAACCCCGTTCGATGCGTAATCAAA